CCCCAAAACCCCAAAACCCCAAAACCCCAAAACCCCTGATTATTTCATAAAATAATTTAAAATAGATAAGAAGAGAGTAATGTCCAATAAAATGAGAAGAGGGACTATTAGTCCAGGAACATTCATGTCACCCAAAAACAGAAGCTCAATACTTGGTAAGGATAGGAAAAGGGCAGTTGGGGATTCTTTTGAGTGAAACTAATGGTTTAGGTAAATCAACAAGTCTAGCAAGCTTGAAAACAGATACTAAAATGGCTTCTGAAATGATAGCTAGCTTACAGAAATCTAAATTTGATTCTTCTGCTAATAGTAGAAGTAATAAAGCAAAAATTCAGAAGAAATATAGTAGAAAGTAAAATTTATCTTTAAATTTCACTCCAAAAGCATTCTTTTTATGTAAAATTTGATTTTAAACACAAATTTTACGTCAGAATGCTTCTAAACATACTTTCAAAATGATTTCTCTTAGTTTCCTTTAACCAACAATTTCTAGCATAAAATACCCTAGAAACTTCAAAAATCCTTCATCTCTCAACCAAAACCAGTCAATTATCAGCCTAAAATCTACCAGAAAACCATCAATTCTCAAAAGTATTCCTCTCCTAATTTCTCTAGAGAACAGGAACAGCTTGCCTAGAGATAACTCTAAGTAAATAGGTCTTCTTCAAAATCCAAAAAGTAAGCTTCCCTTCTAGATTCCGTCTCTGGGCGTAACCCAACCGGATGCAGCATCTTTATTGATCATAGGTACAAACTCAAGGAGAAGCCTGTGTCTAAGGATGCTAAGAAGTAACACATTCTTCACTAATTTTAGGAATTATGATAGCTTCTCAAGAGGCCACGAAGGAGTAAAGCATTTTTATAATCCTTATAGATGGATTTCAAAGGCAGCAGCAAAACACTTAATGTTTTTAATACGTTAAAGGCAAAGATATATCAAAACTTACCCAAAAATGCGACTATGCTAAATTCTCCGTCTCGGAATGGAGCCCCGAGACAGAATTATACTGTGGGGTATAATGATTGATCGCCTCATTATTCTAATGAGGAGACTAAGACTACTGATAGGAAATTTGCATTAAGCTCTTTTGACAATGCTCCCAAGTCAAACTTGTTCCAGCAAATTAAGACTAAGAGGCAGCAAGAGCAACGAGAGAATTCTGTGTTTATCAAAAAGCTTGAGGAAGATCTTCTCAGCCATTACAATTATTACTGTAATTGTAAGGATGGAAAGAACTTCAGTGCTGAATATGAGATCAAGGATGCAACCAACAAAGCTCTTGACAAAGTCAAGAACCTGTAAGTTTCTCTGCTAAATTTCTAGAGTCAACAAGAATCTCTCGAATGTGATCAAGATCGCTCAGAGATCCTTCAATGATTGTATGGAAGTCATGATGGAGACATGAAAGAAGAGGGAAAAAGCTGTATCTAAAGCTAATCAGAAGTCCAAAGATCTCGAATCTAGGATTCAAGACTTGGAAAGTAACTCTAGTTAGTAAACTTTAGAGCAAACTGAGCTCCTTGAAAATGAGAATGCTAAGCTACAGAAAGAAAAGAAGAAAGCCAACGCAAAGCTTAAGAATTTACAAAAAGAATCCAATTTGTTTATGGGTAAATTTGACGAAGCCAAGATTCTCAAGGAAATCAAAGATCTGATAGCTGAGAACGAGAACATCAGAGATTTCGCAAGGGAAATTAAGAGTGAACTGGAGTACGGCAGGCAACGGGAAAATAAGTTGATGTATTTCCTCTATGTTTTGCAGAAAAAGGAGTTCCCAGTGTATGATATCTTTGAAGCAGATATAAAATCTATCCCGACTTATAGATTCTCCATCAATCTTGATGAGGAGTATAAGAAACTTTATGAGGAGTTTAACCCTCCTCATGGAACAAGTTCGACAGGGAAGACTCTTAAGTTATTAAATAATCAGAATGTTGGGGTAGATAGCAGTGTAAATTCTTCATTACCGCTTGAGACAGGACCTGCTCCTGCTCAGAACAAGCCTATGATCGTTCCTGATTTAGATCTGAATGGGATCTTAAATAAACAGTTGAAGAAGCAGCCAGAGAATACAAACTTCGCTCAAGATAAATTCATTAAAAACAAAGGTGCTATGAGCGCTGGATTAGCTGAGTACAACAGAGAGTGCTCAGAAGATCCCTCTGAGGAAGAAGACTGTGACTGTACTTATTGCCGTGAGCTCCATCATTCCTCTGAAAATTCAAATATTCAGGAGAATTTGAGTGGCTCAAACTCTCTATGCAATAAGATACTCTCTCCAGAAGATATTGAAGCCAGAAACAGACGAGTCGAACAGATTCTCAAGAGGGATGATTATCAAAATTACAGACTGATCAGAGACCTAAACAAAATGCAAGAGATGGCAGAGTCTTTTAACCAAAGTCAAAAATAAATTCAATATACAATATTGAGTTTGGGGTTTTGGGGTTTTGGGGTTTTGGGGTTTTGGGGTTTTGGGG